TACAGATTTTTAGACCCCTGTCTCCTGCCAACTATGATCCTTCCGACTTTCGTCGCCTACTATGATCATTTCAACCTACACCGCCAGACAACGATCTTTCTAACCTCGTTCTCCAGCATATTACGGTTCTTCCCACCTACATCGCCGGACAATGGTCTTTCTGACCCTGGTCTCCTGCCTACTACGGTTTTTCCAACCTTTATCCTATCAACTATGGTCCTGCCGATCAAACAAGCATGTCTATGTTGATTATTGCAACTCCCACCATGCAATGTGCTCTATATGATGTACATTTGTGACATCAAGCCAAGGCCTTCTCCCTAGGAAGGGCCTCATTTGGAATCGACTGCAAATATTAGTATATTCATTCAAACTAGGTTAGACCCCATGATTTTCTTCCTTTTCAGAGGTTTCCACGTGAAAACTCTAGTGTCTCTTATGAATGTTATACCCTCTTTCTTATATGTTTGTGAGCTGGATCTTCGAACAACGTTAAGATGCTAAACTTTATATTTCTTTACCGTCGTGATTACTCCAGGACACAGCAGTTCTAAGTAATTTTGTGTATTCATTATGTTTATTTTTCATATGACTGACCTATCTCACCTAGATCCATATATTACCAATGGTTTGAGCTCTAGTCAGGCAGCTTAGGTTCAATGTACAACTCAAGTGAATAATTCTGCGGTAGTTTCTAAGATTGAAAGTTCGATAACATAGTTGGTGGGTGAGGCTCATACACGAGTTCTTGGTACCTGCTCTAATGACATATACATGTATTCAAAGAATTTTATAAGATTATAGCCAGGGGCGAAACCCCCTTGTGGTCAGGGGGGGTAATTGGTCCCCCCCCCCCTAAAAAATTAAAATACTATGGTGTTTAGGTAATTGCCCACAAAAAATAGTAAAGATAATTCATCATTGAATTCCAAAAATATATTTCAAACCAAAATTTGTTCCGAGGGCGCTGCCCCCAGAAACCCCTGCAAAGGGCATCACATATATGCCTTATAAGTTCCCCCCCCCCCCCCCCCCTCTGAAAATTAGGGCTGGTTCTGCCCCTGATTATAGCCTTACAGACTTACAGTTATTGTTTAACATAAGGCGGGTAAGGATTCGTTGATGAGGATTGATAAAACTCTGGATGGGATATATTATCCTTATGAGAGGATAGTTGCATTAATTACATTTTTGTTGGATTGTGAGACAAAATACTAGTGGTTGGGCCAGTAAAGGTAGAAGATTCAGGGTCGTACAATCACCTAATCAATTGGGAGGCATTTACAGAGGCATTCAAACTTGGTTTAAACCTCCTTATGCTAGAAGATAATTACAAAGTTCTTTTCTAAAATTGATTCATGAAAATATGATAGTGATGCAATATGAACCCTCCTACGTCAATTTCTCGCCTACGCCATTCATGAACCCTTCTATTTCTCCCCTACGTCACTCCTGACAGTCCGTCCTCTGAAAAATGAACAATTATTAGGTCAGGTGACCTGACGTAGCTCTACGTTCGGACACCAATAACATGTCGCCATGTGGTCTTACTCAATACCGCGCGGCCCGACGATTTGACCCGAGATTGCTATGTTCACGTATTGCTCGGTATTGCTTGACAATAATGAAAAATATCGCTCTGTGAAGATCAATACCGAGAAAAACTCGGTATTGCTCGGTATTACTCGGTATTGCTCGGTATTGGCCTTCACATAATGGTATTTATCATATTGTCGAGCAAAACCGACCAATACCGAGCAATACCTAACAACACGCGAACATAGCAATCCCGTCTCCATTCCGGGTCAAGGTTGTCGGGCCGCGCGGTAAATAGTGAGAACACGTGGCACTATTTCAGTGATGTCCGAACGTAGAGCTACGTCAGGTGACCGGACCAAATAAAAGTTCCTTAAAAATTGATTGCCTTGGTGAAAAACTGAGCAATTGCGGGCAAAGATGTGTGTTAGGAGGTGAATTTTTTGGTTGGAGAAGTCATCGTAGGTTCAGACTCATATTGATGAATTTTTTATTTCTATTTTTGAAATCTAAGTTCATTATTATGTGCCTACTCCATTTACATGTTTCTTAACCTAACCCTAATTTGCTTAATCATTCAGCTTATGTTGACAATTTCCCCATTTGATCCTAAAATATGTGGAGAACAGTTCTACCACAACAATAATCTACTGGCCTTGATAATTTGAGCGCACATAAGCATAATATATGTTATTTAGATAAGACTAAACCATCAATTGTTTGATAACAATTTTTAGCCATTTACTTACCAAAAATATATATATATTTTTACGTGATTTTTTCTTAGGGCTGTAAATGAACCGAGCTGGTATGTGAGTGTTCCTGTTTGAGTTCATTTGTTATCAGCTTGTTCAAGTTTGGTTCATGTTTTTTTAGCTTTATTGTTTGCGTTCATGTTTGATTCGTTTAAATTAATAAGTGTTTATGTTTGGTTCATGTTTGATTCAGTTAGTGCTTAACGAGCATTAAAAAATAAGTCTTAATAGGCTATAAATGAGCTTTACTTCTAGATGTTTATTAACTTAACAAATGATCTTTATCGAGCATCGTTACATATTTAATGAATCAAAGCATGCTCATGAACATATTTAACAAATTTTTTAATCTAGCGAGTATTCTTGAGCTATCAAATGAGCAAATTAATGAATCAAATATTAATTGAGTTTTCATCGAGCTTATTTACGAGTTCTGAATTAAACACGAATCGAGCTTCTTATCGAGTTTAATGTCGAGCTTACTCACAAGCTTCAAATAATGTTATTCATAAACATAAATAAGTTGAACACATTGATGTTCAAACTTGTTTATTTAAGGATCGAATATTTAAAATATTATTCAAGTTTGTTTGTTTAGTTAATTAAACAATCACAAACAAGTTTTAATCGAACCGAGTAATGAGTAGCTCATCGAACGTTTGGTCTGCTTGCAACACTAAATTTTATATGAATATACAATGACTAAAATTTCGTTCGAAAAAACTTTTGATCACTATTTTTTCACCGCTCTCATGTCATTTTAGTATTAAAAAGCTATTGTAGAAATAATAAGAAAATTATAAATATTAATTCTAACTTTAATTAATATTTATAAATTATAATTATGAATAATATATAATTAAGGTGGTATTTAAATAATAACTTATTTAGCTATTATTTAAATAAGTATTTCAATGCTAATTATAATGATAATTATCTAATTAATTATTTAACAATAATTTAGAATAATTAATCATTTTAAATAGTTTTTAGAATTATCGAAATTTGTAAGAAAGTAATTGCGAAATAGTTGTAAAACCTCAAGTCCCCGAATTATACTATTTAAATCATAAAGAATCTAATCAACAAATATATTATTTATTAATTAATAAATTATTAAGTTAATTAACTCATAATTTATATTTAAATAAATTAAATAAAAATAGTATCATTATAGCTAATTAATTTTTTTATCAAATTAAAATAAAATTGTAATTAACATATTAATATCTTTATTAATTAGTTAATTAATTAATTATAATAATTTTCATTAAAACAAGTTATAAATAATATTAATTAACTTGAATTAATAATTAATAATTAATTAATGTTAATTATTAAAATTAATGTACTCATTATAAATAATTCTTATACAATTTGCTACTTTCTTTACATAAGTTAGGCCATACGGTTTGCTTTTCCATTGCTGTTCTTCTTCAGCTCGTTTGTTGCTGTTCGACTTCGTTCCTCGGAAGTTACGAAATTTTGATCGGAAGAAATGACGGGAGCTCGCTGGCTATGAAGGTAACTTTCTCCCTTTCACGCACTTCTTCGGCCAAATCCTATAAATCCATCGAACCGAGGGATTTAAGCCGTAAATCCTTAAATCCAGGATTTACCCATCGTCAGGATATAACGTGCCAACAAAAACCGTTTGGTCGGATTTAGCATAAATCCGACTTAAATCCCGCTGTAAATCCGATATGGCAACAAGTGGGATTTAACTTTAGTGGGATTTAGGGGCTGTTTGGTTGACTGAAAAAGAAATGCAGTGTAAAGTAAATGCAATGTAAAGTAAATGTAGTGCATTCTGAATACTTTGCACATATTTCTATCACTCACTCTTTATGCTAAGCTCCGTGTATTTAGGCTTTTGGAATCCGGAGAAGATCAATGCCATGGCCGAAGAAGCGCTCGAAAGGGATAAAGTTACCTTCAGAACTTGCGAGCTCCTGTCAACATCCGATCGGACAGGTAAAGGGAACGTCGTTGAAGGAGCGAAGTCGAACAAGAACGAAGTAGCCGAAGAGCCTCTCGTGCAATCTTACAGCTCCTGCGAAGAAATGAAGCCGAACAGCAACGAGGCGAAGGAATTCTTCTTCGAGCGAATTTAGAACCCGCTCAATATGAGCGGGTTTCTAATTCGCACAAAACAGTCCCTGTAATACACGCCTATTGCTTTGAAGTGTTTCGTTTTATTTCGCTCAAAATTAATCAAACAATCAAATTTAATAAATGCATGTATTTGTTTTACTTTACACTCCTAATTCAGGCAACCAAACAGCCCCTTAGTAATTCCGAGATGTGTTAAATCCTGAAAACTGTTTGGTATGTCAAATATTAAATACTGTTAAATCCTCATAAACTGTTTGATAACATATTTCAAAATTTATAACAGTTAGAAATTTAAATGTGAAAAAGATAATTATAAATTAAAAAATAAATTTATAATTAAAAATAAAAATTATTATGTTATGAATTTAATAACATGTTAAATACAAAATTACTTATCAATTATTATTTACAATATTAATTATATATTTAATACTATATTAATTAAGCTAATTATATCAATATTTAATTAAAAATTATATAATTAAGTTAAATTAGATAATTAATTTATGCACTAATTATACAATTAATTATTTAATTATTAATAATTTAAATTATATTAATTAAGTTAATCAATAATAACTTAGACGCCTCTAGGGTTTACCTTTCATCTTCTCTTTTCGTCGTTGCTGTTCGGCTTCGTTGCTTTGCAGGAGGTGTATAGATTGCGCGCGTCGCTTCTTCGGCTCCTTCGTGGCTGTTCGACTTCGCTCCTTCGACGACTTTCCCTTCCAGTTATCGGAAGTTACGACATTTTGATCGGAAGCAAAAACGGGACCTCGCTGGCTGTGAAGGTAACTTTCTCCCTTTCGCGCTTCTTCGTCTAATTCTCGTTAAATTTGCCGAACCGAGGGATTTAGTAAATCCGGGATTTAAGCCGTAAATCCGTAAATCCGGGATTTAACGCGCGCACAAAAATGGCTGGATTTAGCGTAAATCCGACTTAAATCCCACGATAAATCCGATACCAAACAGCCCCTTAGAGTTGCCTCTATCTCAAATTTGCGCGGCGGGTTTCATACCGCAAGCAAAAGTAAAAAAAGAAGAAGAAAAAACTCATCTCTCATTTGTAGAGTTCAGTAGGTTTTGCTGCAATTTGTAACCTCATCTCTCATGTGTAGATATATGCGTGGCAAGACCTAGTATTGCAAATTATCATAGCTTAGCGTAATTTTAATTAATTTACTCTTAATGAAGCAAGGCCTTGTTATCCTGAATTAATCTCATGATTCGAGGCTTTTATGATGTTATTAAATAGTATGAAATAAAGTGGTATGTATGTAAAACCCCCTTTAATAAATGTTATGAGATCTATCTAGCCAATGTAAGATTGATGGTTAAATAGAAGATTAGAAGTAAATGTTAAGCATATTAAATTATCTATCTGCATTGGATATAATCTTACCACTTATTTTATCTGGTGTATAAGACTTCAATATTTTAACCAACCAAGACATGAAAAATACGTTCGTTGCAACTACTAAACACCCACTCTAACATTTTTTTTTTTAACATCCACTCTAACATGATAAACATATTTGTCCATTTATTTTCACGCTTAAATGCACTGTACCTACTTTGAGTTGCATTCTTGAAACATGCATTTCTAAAGTTACTACCAAACATCTCGATGAATTACTTATCTTTTAAATGACGATGATTTCATGCTTCTGCACTGCCCTTAGAACTCCCTATTAGTTTGTTTTTTATCTACTTTTAGCTCAGACTGCACTTATTGCCTTTTGAATATGGAGATTCGAGTTTACTTTGATTCTTTTGAGTGTCATGTATGTGGTGACATTCTTAACAGATTGATCGAAGCTTTAGCCGCTAGGTGGAACAATGGGTTGGTGCAGTCATTGTGAAGATGACTGTGACACTACTCTCGATTCTGAGAAGGGACATGTGTAAGTAATATATACTCTTTTTAATCTTTATACCTTATTTGAGTAATATCAAAATATATTTTTCGAGGATATTGTGCCCAATTAAAGTCCTCTTTCTAATCTTGGATTTTTTTTAACAGTTGCTGTTTTGTTTGTGGAAAGGTTCTTGATCAACATGATGATTATTCTAGTGCTCCTACATTTGAAAAATCAGGTGGCGGCCAGGTCTGTTAGGCATCAGTTATTACCAAAAATTTGGCCACTTTTTTGTTATGCGTCCTTAACTTCAAGCTTTTTTCTTTTCTGATTCACTTATTCAGAGTAGATTATCTGGCAGCATCCTCCGCAGTGTTGCAAGTGCATGTTCGCTGTCCCGTGAGAGAACTTTGGAGAAGGGTATATTTTGATCTTTTACTTAAGTTTGACAACATTCTCAGTAATGGTCATTGAATGACTGTGAAAAATGCACATTGTTATTAAAAGAGAAATCATTGTAATTGACGGGGAAAAGCTTCCAAGCATGAGACTATTAATTTGATTTTTTTTCTTGTTATTTACAGCCTTCTTATGAGTTATGGTTAAGTTGCTTGGATTCTTCCCTTAGAGGACAAGGTTTTATAATAATTTTCTTTTGATGAATGAGAAATTACCTGTGATATTTAAATATATTCATTTTTTTTTGTTAGTTTTACATAATACATATTATGATTTAGCTGTCTGAAGCCCCCCCCCCCGCCCACCTAACCAAGAAATTGTCATTTATTGATTATTTTTGGCTTATAGTCTATCTGACATTATGAAGCTTGATAATTTTGTCTTGGTTGTTCTGTTTTTTTTTTTTTTTAACTTTGCCAGGGAGGAATGTGATATATTCCATTGTGCTCTTTCTGAGATTGAGTGGTGGAGATCCTATAATCAACAAAGCTCATCATTTATATAAAGTATGTAGTATTTAACTGAAATTCATATTAACTCAAGTCAATAATTCGTTTAGGAATAAGTTAGTTTAATCAAGTTTTGCCTTTTTTTTAAGATAGCGGTTGAAAGGAATTTTACTAAAGGACGAAGAATGACTCATGTTGCAGCTGCTTGTATATACATTGCTTGCCGGTATGTATTACTTTTATTACCATCTTTAGTTGCTTCTGCATACCTACTTTTATCATTCATGGATCTAGTTTAGTTTTTGGGTTGGACTGGCAAAGTCACATGCACATAACATTTTATGCCTCATGAAATTCTAATTTTATTTAGAGGCTGCTTGCTTGGATGTTTATAAGATACAAGAGTCTTATAAATGTAGAGTAACTGAAATTGAATGTAGGAATTGTTTGGTTCGACGCAAATCAAATGCACTGAAAATTTTCTGTTTTTTGTGTTTGTTATGTATATTGCAAATGCATTGCGGGCTGAGGCTGTAGCTTGGGGTTATGAACTCTTTCAAATTGGTTTACTTTTAAATACAAAGAAAACATAAGTGTTAGAGCATTTCTAATTCCTCAAAATTTTACATTTTATTTCCTTTTCTTATTACCAAAAAAAAAAAAAAAGATGCGCAAGAAAATTAAGAAAAAAAAAGCAGTACTCTACTAATGCAACTGACCAAGAAATCCTTTCTTACGTTTGTGAAAACATTATAAGATATTAAATTCTTAACAAAAAAACTATTATAATAACTCTTATTATTATTTTGTGGACAGTTGTAAATATGCTTATTGAAATCTAAGTCTGTCTATTTTATGTATTTTTTATTTTTTGTGCATATTGAATCAATTTCATTTATGTTTGGAGTAGTGAAGTTGATATGTCAATGACCTGTAGAAAATTATCACACAAAGATTTGTGAAAATGAATACTTTGAAATTTAGAAGGCTGAGAATGACCGATTGACACTATAAAGGTTATTTTTCTTTGCTGGATAAACTAAGTTTTCAAGTGCTATTTGGTAATTTAAATTTTTTTTTATTAATGAAATTATAGTCAATGTGCATCTACTTTTGCTGCCACACTGTAAGAAAATATTTGTAATCTTATATATGTTAAGTGATGTAGGCAAGATTTTAGGTTTCCTCCTTATGTGGTTGCCCCTTCGGTTTCTGTGTTGCTGTGTGCTGCTTCGAATTCCTCCCCTCTTGGCAGTTGTCCCACGTTCTGTATCCTTGGCCGCTGTGTGTTGCTTTTGATTCCCCCCTTGGCTGCTATCCCTTCAGTTTTGCTGCTATTTTTCTGTGTTCCTATTGGCTGAATGGATGGTGCTTTTATTTCATGCATTTAATGCATTTTCTCTATATATAGGGACCGTTTTCCTGAGTTAAAAAAGAGTTTTTTTGGTGAAAATGTTTGGAATGTAAAAACCTGCGGGTTTTTTTAGCTTGCGAGCTAGTCTCCTTTCCCCTTCTCTTAAAATTCGTCTTTATCTTCTAACCTTTTCTTCTCTATCCTTGATTCCCGCCTCACATGTATCTTTCTTCTCAAAAATATATATAAATTTTATGGTTTATGTTTGTCATGTTTATGTTTAAGGAAGACATTTAACTGTTATCAATCCTATAATTTGTTTGTGTATTATTTGATTGCATCAATTTGGTATAAGAGCCTTATGTTTTAGTGTGTCTTTCTTTCTTTTCTTTAAAAAAAAAAAAAAGACAATCATGATGTAATAGAATCTGTTTTTGACAAAAATCAGCCAACTATTCTTGAAGACAAAATTCCAACAAGCAGATGAATCCTGTCCCAAGGAAGTTCTACAGATCCAATCCAAAATGAGCTATACAAAATTCAGGAGAAAATGAATTTGTGTGCAGAAAGATATGAAGCTAAAAAGCGCCAACTTCATTTCGAGTTTGAACAAGAAAAGAATATGATCTGAAGGGAGTTTGAATCTTTAATTCAGGAAACGGAAGTGACGCCTTCAGAACAAATCTGTGAATTCGAGCCAACTCATTTATTATGAAAGAGAGAAAATGATCCTAATTCAAAATCTTTATGTAATAAAATGATGGGAAAAATGAAAAATTAGAGGAGAAATAATAAAAATCACTTTATATAAAGAATAGGGTATACTTTCAAATAGTTTTAACAACCATTAACTTAAAACCTAAAGTTCTAATATACTGAAATTTTATCATAATTTTTTTAAAAGAGCTGGCTCATAAGCAAATGAGTTGAATTCGGGCTGGATGAAACTTGGCTCGTTAACTTCATTGATCATGACTTCAGTCATTTATTGAGTGAAGCCCAAGCTATTTAACAAGTTGGCTTGACTTATGCCCAAGTTCATGTTGAAGTTGGACCAAAAGCTAGGTCTAGGTCCTTCCCATAAGTCTAATTGGGTACATGGAGCATGCATGGTTACATGAAGGTTATAAAAGGAGCTATATCAAATCCAAGGTGCTCCATTCAAATGCAAATCCAAACTCTTAAACAAGCAGGAAGATCCAAGAAAGAACGAAGTTGGAAGCAAGCCAGCCTCAAGAAAAATTCTCTCCTATTTTTGTAACACTAATCATGATTTTATTTATCTATGATGTACCGACACACCTCTTGAAGATAGAATGCAGTGTCGGGCACGGACACGGACACGGACACGTGCTCGACATAGCTGGGACACATGTCAGACATGGCAAACACGTGCCCGATTAAAATAATGTTTAAAAATTACCTGACACGGCTAGGCACTTATCGCACATGGTTGAGACACGTGTCCAAATTTTTTATGATAGATTTATTTTAAATTATAAAGTTTTTATATTTTTATATTTACTAAATCAAATGAAACATCACATTCGCTCGTATATGCATCAATACAATTATTGAAAGGCATGATTATTAGAGAATGAATCATTTTTTTAGAGGCTGTAATGATTATTTAAAACCTTTATGTCTACATGTGTTTGCAATTTTAGTGACATGAAATAAGAAGAATTTGATTATGTCGGGAAGATCTTTATGTGTACGTCTTATTGTAATTTAATTGATGTAATTTGTTGAAATATGTGACAATTTAGAATGATATAGAAAATATTTAGAATATAAAAGATTTAAGATTAATATATGATATTTAATGAACTATTATGGGAGAGAACTAGAGAAGTATAGAAGTAAATAGATACATTCTTTGTGATTTAGATTAGAGGTTAAAGACATATTATGGGAGAGAACTAGCGAATTAGAGAAGTAAATAGATACAAAGAAGAACTTACTTTAATTATATGATATCCAATGAACTATTGCAAATCTTTCTCTTGATGAAGCAGAGTTAGAAGCGATGATATTCAATGATGATGATATTGAAGGCCAAAAATAAACCTTTGAAGCTAATCCTAGTAGTTGAAGCTTGAATGCTTGACATTGCAGTTAATGATTATTTGCTTATATTTTTGTGCTTGTACTAAACATTTTATATTATAAGCTAGACAAGTTATCATGCCATTAATTTATTATTGTTTGTCATTTCTAATATGATGTTACATTAATATCTATACACTATATACAAAGAATGTAATGCTGTGTCCTCGCCGTACCTGTGTGTTACGCCGGCCCAGGAGGGGCCGGCTGGACCGGTCCAACCCGGACCGGTCCGGGTCTTCTCGCGACGGAACCGCAGCCAACAGGCGGAACCGAGCGGAGGGAGCAAAGTCGACGGGGGCCAGGGAAGAATTTTGGGAGGGAAATTTTGAATGCGAGGGGCTGTTTAGACATTTTGTAAAACTCCTTTATGGTTAATTAGGAGGTGAGGAGGAAAAGGGGGGATTATCTTGCATTTGAATTTTGTTGGGAGATCTAGGGTTTGTGTTCTTGGGCTCTAGGCTACGGCTAGAGATTTGGAGAGTCATTCCTTCCTCTCGGATTGAAGGAAATTGTATCTTTGTTTGTGTTCTTGAATCTACTAGTGAAATATATTGTTTTTCTCCATTTTCCTTAAGTTTTCTCCACTAAAACTGCTGCGATTTGCTGTTTTTCTGCTGAAAACAGCAGTTTTCTCTTGTTTTGGTATTGATTTCGGTTAGGTTTACTTGCGAACCCAAGTATTTCCTATCACTGTGTCCTATATTTTCAAAAAAAGTTGTGTCCAGTGTCCGTGCCGTGTCTGTCTGTGCATCATAGTTATTAATGAATTTTGCTCTTCAAATGCATGTCTCTCTCGTAACCCCTTCCATAATAATTTTTTGATAAATCCTAGCTCTGATACCACTTTGATAGCTAAAACCTCTAACTTTGTTTATTTATTCCTTCTTCACTTCAATGCATGGCTGTATACACGAGCCAGTTCCACCTAATTACTGCTATGTCTGCCACCTTTAATTTTTTGGAGTAAGTTATAGCCCTAGTGGTTTGATATAGGATCATTACAGATCTTTGTCTCTTTTCTTTTCAGATCATATAGAGAATTGTAGCTTTCTAGAATTTATTTCATCTTACATTCTATTTAAGAGCGTATTGTCAAGAGATCTTCCTTGCCTCCTTTAGCCTCCACACATATGTGTTGTGTTGTGTATTCTGGAATCTTCTAGGATATGTGATGAGGTCATCAATAGGAGATTTCGACGCGTCTATCAGAGACGACCACGGAGATCGACGGCCATGATAGAGAGTCTTTATTATTGAGTTTACTTGTACCAGCAGTTTATATATTATGCTTTTATTTTCGTAATTTCCCATTTTACCCCTGGGGGTAGTAGTTGCTCTTGTAGCCCCAAGGGGCATTTTAGACTTTTGCATTTTCTTTTATTTGGAGCCTATTTATATGGCCTTTGTATCTTGTATGAGGGGAGATTAGATTATTGAATGAAAATTATGTTTGTGTTCTGTTTGTGAGTGCCACATTTTGGATCTCTTTGTGAGTTCCATTAGAGATCTCTTAGTGAGTTCTCGAAATCGTTACATGCTTCCCTCATCTCCTCCACCTACAACTTCAACACACAATACGCAACCGTGGGAAGGAGCCGAATTTTCTTGAAGTAAATTTTCTCCTTGGAGTCCACCCGCCCGCCGACCACCCAAGGCCCGCCGGCCGGCCACTTTGCTGCCGGCCATCCCTCCTCTCCACCACTTCTCCCATCCTCCTTTCCCCCCAAGTCCTCATTGAAATTGGATTTTCAAATTTCACT